AAAAAAAAAACAAAATTGCACTCCTGATAGTTAAGTATAAAAAGATCAAAAGTTCTTCACGTAAACTAACTTGTCAATTAATTACTAATTAATTTGAAGAGAAGTTAATTGAGATTTCAGATTGTGCCCTCAAGCGATTAAAGAATTCGAGTTTGTCAGGAAAATAAGAAGTATGTTGTAAATCAATATTTATTCCCTTCCTTTCTCCATAGGAGTTTTGGGTCTGAGTTTACAGTTCTAAGTAAACTTCTATTAAAATATATCGAGGAATTTACTAACAATAGATTGTTAAATAATATTTATAAGGAAATCAACCATTGACCGGTCTACGTGAGGACGATGGAAATGGATAGGACCAGTTGCTCTTCGTCGAATCTTCGTTAGATTCATGGTGAAATTCTGAACATTCGTGCGACGTGTATCCTCGATTTATCACACCTTGTGTCTCCTCCTTGGTATCGTGTCTGTTTTGCAATTTTGACGACAACTGACTGAAATAACATAAATCCCAAATTCGTTTAATAAATTCTAAAACTCTGTCATATTTAACTCTGCTGTGATTCTCGATTGTATTATTCTATAAATTTCATGTTAATTTTGTTTTTAAATTTTTATTAGAAATTCGAAAGCAAAAGTCATATTTCCTTTAAATTTAAGAGATTTGTTCATGATAGAAACTTTGTAATTGGACTGACAAAAAAAAAAAAAAAAAAACGCAGCAGGGTTAACATTCAACATAGAAACATATGAATTAAAATAAAACCTTATTATACGATCACCAAATGAATCCTCAATTTTAGGTCTCCGCCTGATATTTCTTGTATCGAAACTCTCCTCTATGATGACGTGCCTGTCATACGGTGTATCATAATCAACCTCCAATATGGTGGAAAATTGATGAGGGAAAATCATATCTATCGCCGTAATTATCACTCCAGCGAACATGCATCCGATACCTAGAAGAATTCACTTCCTGAAGATCCAATTCTTCCTCCTCTGTCAAATTTTCTATTATAAATTTATTAAAATTGATTAAGGACTAACATTGCGGTAATGCAGTATTTCATTTTGAAATATCAAGTTCTTAAATTTGCCATCTCCCAATAATGTTGCATTTATATGTTACTTTTCTATGTGATTCAGTTAAAGATAAGAAACTAACCAGCTAACAAAACAAGCCAATAATTCCATCCCAGGTTAAATGCAAGAATGGAACCTTCGATATGCGCAATGAGAGGTTCGCAAGGTAAAAGTGTCCAGTAGATTAAGTTAGTCAGGAGCATACATATCCCGGTGAAGATCATACCGTAGGCGCCATATCGTGGCACGACTATTAATAACAGATTCATCATGATCCAAGAGGCAAAGGACGTCCTAGAAGAAAAAAGAAAGAAGCAATTAGTCAACGTATAAATAAAAAAAAAAAAAAAAAAAAAAGAAAGACACAGTCAGGACAAGAGAATGAATTAAGTGTGACTCAATGCCAAAGGTATTTTTCTCGAGGCATACCAGAGCATTAGTGACGCGTAGTAGCCAGCTTGTCGATACTTGCTTCCCCACGAAAAACCTTCTTGATGAAGGCTGAAGTATTCGGCTAGAGAAACTATAGGGAACGGTGCACCCTGGTTCAATGCTTGCTTGAAGGCGCTCGTCATCTCTCCAGTACTCCTCCACCAGAATCTTTCGTTATACTCCACGTCATCCATTGGATTGTCGCTGCTTGGTAGCACTTTACGTAGAATGAAAGGAGAACAATTGAACAAAATTAAGGTTTTTAAATATTAAGCTGTTTAAATTGTAATAGTAAATTATTGCACAGAGTTACATGGAGTAATAGAGAAATTACAGAGAGATATTTGGGATCTTTGTTTTCTCTGTTAAAATAAGTATTACTATAAATAGTTAAATCTATCTATATTGTAAAGTACTATAAATAGTTACATGGAGTAATAGAGAAATTACAGAGAGATATTTGGGATCTTTGTTTTCTCTGTTAAAATAAGTATTACTATAAATAGTTAAATCTATCATATAAGAAACTGAAACCAATCATTTGTAATGCTGTTTCATAATTGAGAAAGTGACCTCGAGTAGACAATTGAGCCTTGACGACACGATAGGTGGCTGGCAAATTCATTGTTAGCAACTTACGCCTATACGTGATGTTTATGTGCATCAAGCCAATATATCCTCCTATTTCAGCAGCAGTCTTCTGTTTAGAGAATGCACTGTACGTGCTGACAATGGTCGCGGAACTAGTGTGCCAGGATGATCCATATTGAGCGACTGCAATCGTGCAAAAAGAGTCAGATATATAGCTCGACAAGAGAAAAGTCGGTTAATTGCGTGAAAAATGGACTAAACCTTGGATCGACGCTCCGACGAAAAGGCTCAAGGTCACCGTAAGGAACGTGCTAACACGCTGTGCGAACATTCATAATTATATCATAACTATATCAATAACTAGACAATTAAAAATTAAAAATTACATGTATTTATAATTAAATTTATTAATCAAAGAATGAGACTTTAACTCTTTACAATGCGAATCTTTTTGTGGGTATAAAAGAATTTATGTAATTTGAAATCAGCAGATATTAATCTCAAGATGAAAGACTATAAAAACTAATAAAAATATTGTTGCTCATAAATAATCTTCTTGATTTATCATTTTGTGATTTCAAAGTTACACGGTATTATAGAGGGTTAAAGAAATAGGTAGAAAAAAGAAGAAAGTACTGACCTCCTTTCGTATTCCAGGATATATGACGAGGAACGCGGTGAAGATGGTGCCGAAGATGACAAATACGATCACCAGAGGAACATCGCCCGTGACAGGTGTACGATTGCTGTAACTGTACAAAGTTGGTCCTCCGTCAATGCGAAAAGCGTCGAACCATCCCTTCATCCTTTCAGTCGAATCTTCGAGTTTTTTTCGACCCTGAGGGAACCGGCCAGTTCCGGTTCTCCTTGCAGACCACTTGGCATCAGTGGCTCTCCTTGAATATCAAATCAGTCATATCAGAATAACAGAAAGCAAATCAATCTGCATTTAACCCTTCTGCGTTCCTTAGCTCGTTTTCGAATCAAACTTCTCTATTCAATATAAAAGAATCACAGATGATTTCTCTTTGCAAGTCCTTCTTGCAAATTAAACTTTAATGAATAAGTAACTAAAAAACTTTATCATACTAAGTATTCGACTTTAGACATTTTATATATATTTACACATTTCGGCAACTTTTAATTTTGAATGCCACAAGTACGTAAAAATCGGCAGTCTAATCACTGTAGAGTTAAATTATATCTGAGCAACAGATAGTATAAAGTAGTATATTATCTACAGTATAAAATCAAAGAAATAGTATAAAGTTAAAGTTTCTAAGAAATGTTGTGTACCTTAGGTCGCCACGCTCTGGCTACCAGCGTCCAAGGATGATTATTGTGAAAGAACGATGTACGACGCGAGCACCTGTGCGGTGAACATGGAAGGTTCGAAGGCAGCTCGAACACTAAGAACCACAGTAGGTTAACGGGTCTTCGAAAGCGATCTCCAGCCATGGAGTAGAGGGGACTGTGAGTCTTGATTACGTTTAAGGGGGGAGTATTGAAAGAGAAAGAACGGAGAAGAACAGGTGGGGCTAACTCTTGATGGGGACAGTTACAAACTGGTCGAAGCAGAGGAGATAAAGAGAGACTAAAAGGTGTTGTTGATCAGCTGGACCAGGAAAACGCAGCCCGAGCGGAGAGATGCATGTCTGGCGCGTTTTATTTCGGCGGATCTGCGATCGATGATCCCGGATGACGACACGAGACGTGACACGTGAGCGTGGATCGCGCGGTATGCCCGATGGCACGCGGGAGACTTCGATGGCTGCATAGACGGTGACGTTCACTACTTGATTCCCCGGGAATATTTTTCGTGCTTCGTCACACGTACACCTGAAATAAGTCCTGGTTAACAAGAGAAGTATTTAAGTAGTAATTTAGTTGAAGATGAAATGGATCAATTCACTAAGGATCAGGTTTTATGATGTAGTGAAAAGCAAATATTTAGGCTTCAATTTAAAATTGTAGAAGTGCATCCGTATTTGCTAATAATATAGAAGATTTATTTAAGAAGGAATTATCAACAAAACAGATTACTTAAATTATGGAATCATTTATCAACATTTTATTTGTAAGAGTTTAAATTTGAAAAAAGAATTGTGAATATACTGCTGAAAATATAAATTTAGTACATGAAAAAAAAGATATGATCTATTCTGTTTAGACTATCTTTAGTGCATTTTGTTAGATAAATTAGAAAAATTACATTCTATGAGACAATTCATTTTTTCATATTTTTTTCAATATAACTTATCCGCTCGTCATTTTTCTCAATTCACACATTTAATTTATTATTAAAAAAATTGCAAGATTGATAACATTACGTTCAAAAATTTATATATAGCCAAGTTATTTATATATAAATAAATTAAAATTACATTAAAATCATAAAATAATAGGGGTAATTGAGTTTCAGAGACAATCGAGGAGGTGTAATGGTGTTACTAAATTGAGACTGTGATGATAAGAGAAAAGAAGAAAAGCAATGTGAACTTTCAATTCTATCGTGCACGTTCAATTAATCCAAGAGGGAAGAGGCACTTTAATTATATTTGCGATTATAAAGAAATGAAGATAAACGGCGTTACACATATATAAATGTAGTGGAGTTCAGAAGAAATTAAATTGGAATGTTCAACAGTATTCAACTATTAAAGAAAATATTTCAAAACTACGTAGTTATTATCTACAAAAGGTCAGTAACATCCAATCCGTCAAACTTGTTTAGACCCACTATTTCTGATCTTGAATCTATTATTAAAATTATAATAAATTGCACCAGTTAAAGCAATAATATGAAACATTTAACAAAATTTATA